TAGTCATGGTGGGACCTCTGATGGAGTATATGTCCTTGTGTATCATCCCCATGAACCCCACATCCTTGAGGTAGCTGTTACTACAACTCCCCACATTTTGCCCAACTGTTTATAATTGTCAGTCAGGCCTTAGCTACTATGCGGTATTATGAAACTAAGTTTACAAAGAAATCACATAAGTACCTTCCTCTGACAGCCAGAAAATTACTCACCTAATTATCCAGAGAAATACATATACTAAAACTAAAGGGTTGTGAAAAGCATCCAACTAACAGAAGTGGCTCAAATGCCGCACCCAGTTCTGGACAATAGACCTAATTCTGAAGGTGCAGGGTTACCTTTCCAGTCATCAAGTGCTAGCTTAAAATTCATCCACATCTCTGGTTCTTGATGACAGCTCTGCTTTACCATCAGCATTGTTTTCAAGTATTAACTATGGAGATCTAAAGTGGAAAAATGAGGAAAGGGCACAAGACATGCTTCTATTGGGTGAACTTACTTTTGCATGGCAAATTTTCTCAAGTCTCATTATGTCTGAAACTAATCCTTGACATTTAAATACTATTATATCTGAAACTAATCCCTGACATTTAAATACTATAGATGAAGATACTCTAGGTTGCACTTTTCTTCCTTAAACACATTGGAAATGCTACTGTTTCTACTTCACTATTAAAACATCTGGTATTCTAATCCTTGTTCCTTTGAGGGCGATCTTTCTCGGAGCTCTCCAAGACCTTTTTGATGGTTATTTTCCCCATATTGCATCCAGGTGTAAGGCTTTTACCACCTCTATTTAGCAGTGATCCAATGAGGTGTTCAATGTTTAATTCTAGCAATCTGATTGTGGTTTACTATCTAGTATACTGGATAGAGTTCACTCGGGTTTTTTAACTTCATTCCCGTTTTACATTCTGGTATCTAGTGTTGACAATAAAAGATGCCCAACCTCATGGAGATTACGCAGTGCAGATAGATCGGACAGAATAGGATACTCTGCAGGACAAGATCTGGGACATTCATTCTGAGGTGAAATGTGAGCTGAGACCTGAATAGCTAGCACCTATCATGCAAGTATCAGAGGGAGAAATATGACTAAACATCAAGTCAACCCATAATGAATTGATCAACGATGAATTTTTCAGATTATTTTGGGGTTGCTGATACTTCTAAGTTTCTGCTCAGGCCCGAATTTTCCAATCTTCTCCCCCAAGAAAAGATTAAATCTCCTTGTGCCAAGTAGTATAATATTCCAGAGCCACTTCTCCCTTGCACCTGGTGCTGGCACAAAGGGGAATCAGTGGAAAATGAACAAGCAAGGAGCACAGGGCAAAGCAAACCCTTGTGCCAACCCATGTTCCAAGTGAGTCTGTCAGCATAAGGTAGTCATGTCAGAGAACTCAATTTGATGAGCCACTAAAATGGGTTGTCTCTTATTATTCAAATGTTCAGACAGAACCAACTTCGGGTTCAGCAGCAGCCCCAATCCTTACTTAAGAATTCTATAATACGGCACTTTGGGAGGCTGAGGGGAGAGGATTGCCTGAGCCCAAGAGTTCAAGACCAGCCTGGGTAATGTGGCAAGACACTGTCTTTACAATAAACCAAAAAAATTAGCCGGGCATGGTGGTGTGCACCTGTGGTTCCAGCTACTCGGAAAGCTGAGGGGGAAGGATTGCCTGAGCCCAGCAAGTCAAGGCTGTGGTGGCCATGAGCATGCCACTGCACTCCAGCTTGGGCAACAGAATGAGACTCTGAATAAAAAAAAAAAAAGCATCTTGCAATAAATGGCTCAGAGAACGAGAGGCAAGATACATATATAACTGATCTCTTTGTTAACGATAGCATTTATTTCATCCATACTAAGATATATGGTCTTTTCATTAACTCAGTGTTCCTCAAATGTCATTAATACTCTCACCTATCATTGTCTTTACTATACAAAACTAGTCCATGGTGATAAAGATTATCAGAGCAGTTTACCATGGGATGGGGTTACTAATTATGAGGACAAAGAGGACCCTCTGAAATGCTTAACCTGGATGGGAGTTACACAAGTGGATACAGATGAAAAAATGCACATCAAGCTGAGACTGCTACACTGTCCTGAGTGTTATACCGCAATAAAAAAGAAATTATGTTTGTGTTATAACTATACTACGTTTCAAACAGCTTTACCTTTTTTCTATACCCTCTGGTTTCAATAAGTAAATATTTCTTTAAGTAACTTTTGAAAGCTAAAAAAAAAACCCACCAAAAGCAACCTTTATTGGACCACCCTAATTGTGTGGGTTGTGACATACAGGTTTGGCATTAACAGAGCCAAATGTGCCTTATTTCATAAATGTTCCAAAATACCTTAAAGAGGAACAGCTCACATTATGCTACTACTGTCAAAGACCTCTTTAAAGTGATATAAAACAGACCGTGAAGGATTCAGAGACATGTAAAGTGCTAAAACTCAGGAAGAAATAAAAGACCCAGAGACATGAGTGGGGGCCAACCTATAGATTCATCTAACTAGAGAAGACAAAGATTTATTAAAGAGACAATAGGAAAAATTATGAACAAGTTAATTCATCCTTTAGGTTTGATTTTCTCAAACTAAAACCTATGGACACAGCTCAGGAATGAGTTTTAAGTGTATATTTATTTCAATCACATTTGCCAACTGTAAGTAAAAATACATTAAATTCTAAAAAAACACAAACATGTTATTTGTAATCATTATTAACCAAATTATGGAATATAAAATATGTGTAACCACCAAGCTCCACTAGATTGTGTCAAGAGGTTATCTTCCCTAAATGCAGCAGTAGGAGCAAACCAAGTGACAACAATAAATGATACTAAAGAAATAACAACCAAGAGAAACCTTTTCATTTTACCAAGTATAATTTCTTGGGCTATATTTTTGTAACCAGAATTGATGTGAAGTATTAAAAACTACAATATGTTGTTTTTGAGAAGTATTGGATACAAAGCAATGGAATCTTTAAAACTTTAGAACATACCTTAAGAAGCTCAAAACTAAAATAATTCTTTGAAACAAAGAGTACAGAATTTAAAATCACCAGAAGCACTTATTTAGTGTCCTTAATATACATACTACATATAAGCACTATAATGTGCTTTGTAGATTTCTTATAAAGTACTACCTCAAATTACAAAGACTAAAAAAAATCACATAAATTGCCAAGACATTAGTGAAAGACGCCATCAAACATGTCTGCTTGAAAATGTTCAAGTACCACTTTCCCCATACCTCAACATACTCAATAACCATCTAATAACATGAAATAATGGCTCACTAAACAAAGCTAATAGAGTATTTTTCCTTGTTTGATCAAGTTATGGAAAACAAGACCTGGTTTGAGAATAATTTTCATAAGACAAAGCAGGAAATATTTGTTTCTGTAACATGAAATAAGTACATGACATCGGTTCTTCAGCACCTTGCTAAAACTGGAAACTAAAATGACCATAAAAGGAAGAGGCACTAAACCCCCAGGACAATTAAATAGATAATGAAAACATTAAGATTTTGGAAACCGAAAAAATAAATGCATGAGAGGTAACTGTCTCAGCAGACAGGAGAAATTTAAATCTCAATTCTGTATGCAGCTGATGCTTTTTAAAAAAAACACAAAAAAACAGAATGGGTTGAAAGAAGCACTTAAACACCAATGCCCAAGCCACTCCCCAATACTGAAGAAAACTGAAGGGATCACTCCCTGGAAACAGTGAATCAGAGGGTCTCTGGAATTGGAGAACCAAGATATAGACAGGAAGCAGTCAGTATCTTACTAAAAACTGGAGCGGTCTGCATTATGAATAATAGTAAGGTCTTCAATTCCCTTTTCCTTTCTCACCCAAAAAGAAAACCTGTAACATGTATACTCACATAGGACAAGAGATTGAAAGGTTTCTCTCTCAAAAAAGACCTACATATTCTGACAGTTGGGTGACCCTCAAATAAGTGGCCTAGCCAAATAATGCTGCAGTCAAATCCACCTGCTAACAAGCCAGAAATATAGAGAGCTTAGAGAAATTCCTTCTAGACTTCTAGTTTGAGGAACAGTAAAGAATCCCAAGGCATTTGAAGAAGCATCGAAATAAAAGACAGACTAAACTAAACAAAGGGAAGACTCACTTAACTGAAACAGACTAGGGGGTGGGAAGGGAATTTCTTAAAAATGTTCTAGACAGAAGGGTCAGGCACAGTGGTTCAATTCTGTAATCCCAGTGCTATGGGAGGCTGAGGTGGGAGGATCACTTGAGGTCAAGAGTTTGAGATCATCCTAGGCAATGTAATGAGACTCCATCTCTACCAAAAAAAAAAAAATTAAAAATTAAAAATTAGTCAGGTGTGGAGGCTGCAGTGAGCCATGACTGTACCACTGCACTCCAGCCTAGGTAGCAAAGCAACTTAAAAAAAAAAAAAGCTTTTCTGCTGAACCCTAATTACATTATCCAAAGTTACAGATAAACAGATCTACATTTCAATATACATAGTAACAACAGAACATTTTTCCAAGAGATAAACAACCAGCACAGGGGAATATGTCCCCTTTTCCAGGGTATATTCAGAATTTTTCTTCCTTATTGTCTGATATCCTTTCCTCAGGGCCTAAATTGTGCCTTTTTTGGCCCTTATACTCTTCTATTATGGACTTTGCATCACTTATACTCCTAAGTCTTGTTTTATTCTCTCTGGTACTACCTATCCTCCAACTATAAATTTTCAGATCTCTCCTCTTGTTCTGCGTGATATACTACCATTTACAATTTCTGGTCTTTTGTCAAGACCCTACAGTTTCTTTCAGAATCTTCTCTGTGTTAACCCAACATCCACTTGAAATCTTTACATGACATACTCTTGTAGTACAGTAGTAGTTTAGTAAATGAAGCCAAAATAGCATAATACCAAATGCCAAAGATCGTCAACTCTTTTGCTATTGTTTTACCTGCTACTTTCCTGAAAAAATAATTTGATGAGATCATCTTATAATGAACATTTGGTAAACTACCTCATAGAAATAGACTCTAAAATAAGACAATTTCTTAGTTAAAAACAATAGAAAGCATAATTCCAATCTCCCCCTTTCAAGCCCTACTCCGTTAACGGAAATACCAAAAACCCATGAACCGTATTACTAAAAGAGGGAACAAAGGCATTTGCTAAACTTCCACAGGAAGACTATAAATCTAGAAGCAGTAAAGCACACATCAGCCTGTACCCAAGAGTACTATTCAGTCTCACAAGTTAACTGAAAATCTAAACTTAATATGGACACAAATACTTGTTCTTAATAAGGCCGCAGAACATTCCCATCTATTAAATGTGCAATGGTACAAGATATATTATGTCAACTGATATCATCAAAAAGTAAAGTAGATAATCTGGCTTTCAAAAGCAATACAGGTAAATCACTAGATGTAAACAGGAACGTTAAAAAGCCATTCTTTAGCTTCAACTTAAAACAAGCATTCAGGATTGGAATCTTCAGTGTTCTCTAGTATCTTGAATAGCCCCATCTTCTCTTTAACTGGTCCCGAGGCATTCATTTGATCTAAGAGAAAAAATGAAAACAGGTACTTCTTTAAAGTATAAGAACTGAAACTAAAAATAAATCATAAAAGAAATTTCTAACATGATGCTATGAAAAGTGAGTAATCCATCCAAAACTTAAAAGAGTTAATATGGGCATTCTCTTCCTTAATCAGTAAAATTTAATAGCAACGAAAGAAAAAAGGTACTCTAGGGAACACATATCTGAAGTATCAGCTTGCTAGTCAAAATCTCTTCTGAGTTTAAGGTAAGATACAGAAGTCACAGAGCAATTAACAGAACACCAGCTTGAATTATGTTCTCAGGAATTCTTTTTTTTCAAAGTCTGATAATGACTAGTTTAAAAGCTGGAAAGCAAGATAACATGAAAAACTTACCTTTATAAACAATTCAAATGAATGCAATATGTAGTCTCTTAAAGTCTGTCAATATAACAGCAATAGAATGAAATCTCTATTGATTTTAATTTGCACCATTCTCGTTTTTCATAATCTTTTTATGTTCATTAGACATTTCTTTCTCTCTTGGTAAACAGCCACCTCTTATGTCACCCATTTTTATTATGCATTTTCAGGTATTTACATATCCCAAACACTTTCTGTCCATGTTACAAAGATTATGGTTTCTCTCATTTGTTTATGGTGTCATTTTTAAGAAATTTTTAATGCTGATGCAACAAAAATATATCAATCTTTTAATATAATTTGTGAGTTCTGCATTATGAATAATTCTTTCCAAATTCTAAGGTTAAATATATTTTCCTATTCTTTTAAGTTAAAACTTTGCTTTCAATACTTAGGTAATGTGAGGTAAAGAGGACCTAGTTTAATTTTTTCCCCTCTTGGCTGGGCACAGTGGCTTATGACTATAATCCTAGCACTTTGGGAAGCTAAGGCGTGAGCATTGCTTGAGCTGAGGTGTCTGAGACCAGCCTAGCCTAGGCACACAGCGAGACCCTGTCTCTAAAAAATAAAAATAATTAGCCGGGTATAGTGATACATAGCTATAGTCTCAGCTACTCAGGAGGCTAACTAAGGAGGAAGGATCACCTGAACACAGGAAGTTGAGGCTACGATGAGCCATGATAGTGCCAATGCGTTCCAGCACGAATCCAGCACGAATGAATTCCAGCACGAATAAGGCCATGAATCAAAGAAAAAAAAATTTTTTCCCCTCTTGAGTATTATTGCCTGAGCATCATGTGTTGATTAATAGGAATCTTCCTCCTCTAGCTTGAAATGCCATTTCTGCCATTGATTGTTTTCCCATGAAAGTTTAGTTGTCTTTCTAGGTTCACCATATTCTGCCTCTAGTCAATGTATCATCATCACGTGCTAACTCAACACAGCCTTAACTATTATGACTTTTTAATGAGACTTACTACATGGTATAAAATATCTTGTTCTTAGAGCTGTCTTACTTCTTGGCCCTTCACTTTTCCGTATAAATTGTAACAGTATATTCTTTAAAAAGTCACATTGGGACTTGAATTAGAATAGCAATGCAAGGAAGATAATTTAAGTTCAGGGAATATTGATTTTTTTAAAATATTAAACATTCATGTCTATGAATATAGTTAAATCTGTACATTTATTCAGCCTTTCCGTTAGTGTCCTTCAAGGTTTCATTACTTCGTCCTTATATAAAGGCCTTTAAAAAAGTTGTACTTAATTCTAAGCATGTTACAGTTTTGTACTTGTAAATACTTTATTTACTAAACAATCAATAGTTACACAAACCATTATTTATAAGCAATCTTTGTCTTCAATTGTGTTTTTTTTTTTGAGTCAGAGTCTCACTCTGTTGCCCAGGCTATAGTGCAGTGGCACTCACAGCCACCACAGCCTCACCCTACTATACTCAGGCGATCCTTTCACCTCAATCTTTCAAGTAGCTAGAACTACAGGCATGTGCCACCACGTCCAGCTAATTTGTTGCCTAGGCTGGTCTCAAATCCCTGAGCTCAGGCAACACTTGCTTCTGCCTCCCAAAAGTGTTGATATTACAGATGTAAGCCACCATGCCCAGCTTAAATTGTATTCTAAAATACTTTCTAGATCCCACTGGACTGTCTAGGAAGATAATCAGACTGTGCGCAAACACAAGCAATTTGAACTTTCTTGTTTAAAGAGGCAGTGTCTTAACTTGTTACCCAGGATAGAATGCCGTGGCATGATCATGCCCACTAGCCCTAATTGTAAATGCTTGGGCTCAAGCAATCATCCTATCTCAGGATCCCAAGTAGCAGGAACTACAGATGGACATCACGTCCAGTTAACTGTGTTTCTGCCCTATGTTGCCCAGGTTGGTCTCCTGGTCTCAAGTAATCCTCCTGCCTCAGTGGAATTACAGGCATGAGTCACCAAACCCAGCCAGCCTAGATTCTTATTTATTATTCCTCTAACTTATTTCTTACGGTCTTGGTATAATTACAGTGAAAATAAGCTGTTATTCTTGATTTTACTAGTAATTTCCCAGGTGAATGTTCTGTCATGCAGAAGAACTTCCTTCTATCTAGTTTTAAGAATTATGAAGATGATTATGTTATAAAGGTGGATTTTTGGTATCCAAAGGGGTTGATCATCTAGTTCTCAATTTTTTTTTTAAAAGTCAAGGTCTTACTCTGTTGCTCAGGATGCAATAAAGTGGCATAACCATGGCTCACTGTAGCTTCCAACTCCCGGGCTGAAGCAATCCTCCTGGGTCAGCCACCCGCTTAGCTGGGACTACAGGCACATACCACCACATTCGGTGAAAATATTTTCTGTAGAAATGAGATCTTGCTATGTTGCCCAGGCTGTCTTGAACTCCTGGCCTCAAGCTTTCTTCCTGCCTCAGCCTCCCAAAATGCTGGCATTCCAGGTGTGAGCTACCACACCCGCCTCTCCTATATTCAACTAATGTGAATTATATTAGTACTTTTAGATATTAAATGCTCCTTGCTACCTTGTATACCGTTTATTTTTAACATATTTCAGATTTTTGCCATGCTATATTTCTCATATTTTTCCTAAACAATTTCAAAGTTAAAATTCAAATAAACATGCAAATTCTCCAGCATATCTAATATAATCTTGAAAGAGAACAAAACTAAAGAATTACACTTCCCATAATGCTACATTTATCAGTTCAGTGTGGTATTGGTACAGGATTAACACACAGATCAATGGAACAGAATTGAGAATACAGAAATAAGCACTCATATTTTATGGTCAGCTGATTTTCAATAAAGATGACAAGGCAATCCAATAGGGAAAGGAGCATCATTTTAACAAATGGATATTGACATGCAAGATGAAGATCAGTTTCAAATCTCACCTCATACTCTATATAAAAATCACTCAAAATAGATCTTAGACCTAACTGTAAAAAAAGTGAAAAGAAAAAATAAAAATAAACCAAAATAAAAAAGTAAAAAAACTGGCCACAAGTTGGAAGCAAACATTTGAAAAACATCTGAAAGAAGACTTGTAACCACAATGTATTTTCAGATTCTTTTGATTCAGTAAGACACAGACTCCAAATAAAAAGTAAACTATATATTTAAAAAGAAGACATCATTGACACTGTACCCATTGGCCTACTGATAAATGATAAACAATTGGTTCTCAAAAACAAAACAAAAGAGAGAAAGAGAGAGAGGAAAAAAAGGTATATTAAGTGACTTATGGCTGTAGTCCCAGCCTGCACAACAGAGCAAGAACTCGTCTCCAAAAAAACAAAAACAAAGACCCAGGTTTGTAGTTCTTGCCTATTTCTGTGGCCTAACTACTTCCACCATCACAAACTTCAAGTTACCAGCATAGCATTGAATGTAGCTAGGAAAAGATGAGCATTACATACTAATTCTACCGTACAGATTAAATAGAAAAATGATCAAGAGCCTAGGCAGTGACATATTGTAAAATAATTAGTAAGTGACATTTAAAATGTTTTATCTTTGCCTTAAAATTAATTTACAGCTGGGCATGAAAGCTCACACCTGTAATCCCAGCACTTTACGGGGTGGAAGCAAGAGGATTGCCTGCGCTCAGGGATTTGAGATGAGCCTGGGTAATTTGACGAGACCTCATCTCTACAATAAATAAAAGAATTAGCTGATGGTGGCGCACGCGTGCAGTTCCAACTACTTGAAAGGCTGAGGTGGAAGGATCACCTGAGCCCAGCAGGTCAAGTCTGCGGTAGCCATGAGCATGCCACTGCCCTCCAAGCTGGGCAATAGAGTGAGACTCTGACTCAAAAAAATAAAAATAAAAAATAAAAGTAATTTATAGTCACCATTGTACATATCAAATCATTATACATATTCTAAAAACTGATAAACAAAAGAAGCAAATTATCTTGCCTCTCTTGTATCTCAGGGAAACCAAATATTTGATAAGGGAATAGTTTTAGACTCCAGATAACAAAGGAATGATGGAATAAGAAAATCACCATTTTGCAAACCTTAAGAAAATAGTGGTTGCAAGCCACCATTATCCAAGAAGGCTAAAACTCACTGTATTAAAGGTTGACGAAAATTTTTGTAATATTACTATCTGCCTGTATCTGATTAATCTTAGTGCACTAGAAACAAGAAGCCCAGGTGTGATGTGCCTCCTGGTACAATGTAAATATGATAACAAAGCACTGGTACTCTTGACCAAGATATGGAACTTGAATCTAACATGCCTGTAAAGCTATTTTCAGAAAAACTAGTTTACCAGTTTGTAGAAAATATGCAAATTATAGAACAATTTAAAGGAAAACAAAGGGAAAAAAATTAGTCAACGTAAGCCATTTGGTAGAAAAAACTCAGTTTCTCCAACACATCAATGACATGAAAAAAAAAAGTTACAGAAGATAAATATAACCATCAACACAATCTGGAATCTTATTCAAACTATAAAAAAGTTGACATAACTGGAGAAATCAATATAGGTGGGTAACAGATGAAATTAAGGCATTAGTGCCAATTCTCTTAAATGTAATAATGGCATAGTGGCTATGTTTAAAAACATGTTCTCAGGGGAAAATGTGTAACAAAGTACTTATGGGCAAAATGTCATGACGTCTGAGATTTGATTTCAATACTCTGACAAAAAAATAGCAATGAAGTAAGATTGGCTACATGTGGCTGAATGAATTCTACAAATTCTCATTATGCATGTTTCAAAGTTTCCATTAAAAAAAGCATGACACTTACCAATGAGATCACTTCGATCTAACAACAACTCTAGATCCTTATCACTAATGACCTTCTCTCTTGATCCTTTTACTTCCCTATAGAAAATAAAACATTCAAGTCTATACAAATAAATCAAAATTAAAAATGGAATCATTCTAAAATTTAAAAATCCTACCTTTCATAATCTCTAGATTTTAATAATTCCATCAATTCCTTAGGATCTAAAAAGTTCTTAGATTGATTTAATCCAGACTGACCACCTTTGAAATGATCTAAAAAAAAAAAAATTCAAGAAACCCAAAATATTAAACTTCTTTTTAATACTACAATTTAACATATTACAAACCAATGACAATGGCTTGCTAAGTGAAGTGTTGCAAAGGAAGAAAAGCAATTGAAACTCTCAGACTTTGCTAACAGGAATAGAAAACAGTAAGTCCACTTGGGAAAAGGTTTGGTAGCTTCCATAGTAGTTAAACATACACCCTGCCTACGACCAAGCATAAAGAAATGCATTTGGTCCACAGAAATGTGTACAGGTACAACTTATTCACAATAATCAGAATCTGGAAACAACTGAAACATCCCGTCAATGGATAAACAAACTACTCAGCAACCAAAAAAAATTCTACTATAAATAGTGGTTGCTTTCCATTGAGGGTCAAGGGAGCACAGAGAATGACTGGAAAAGGTGCACAAGGGAAAATTCCTTGGATGATGAAATTTTATCCTGATCCAAATGATAGTTACATGAGCACATATTTTTGATCAACATTCATCAAGCTTTACACTTAAGGTCTGTGTACTGGCCAGGTGTGGTGTTCAAGCCTATAATTCCAGCACTTTGGGAGGCTGAGGCGAGAGAATTGCCTGAGCCCAGGGGTTAGAGACCAGTCCGGGCAACTTGGTAAGACCTCCTCTCTACGACAAATCAAAAAATTAGCCAGGCATGGTAGTGCATGTCTGTAGTTCCAGCTACTTGGAAGACTGAGGCGGAAGGATTGCCTGAGCCCAGCACATCGAGGCTGCAAGTGGCCATGAGTGTGCACTCCAGCCTGGGTGACAGAGTGAGACTCCAACTCAAAAACAAAACAAAACTGTGTACTTTACTAAATGTATACTAAACCTCAATTAAAAATTATCAGCATTTTAAAAAATTCATTCAAATTTTCTTAAAATTAATCTCTTAAAATACTGAAAATTAGGAAAATAAAACTATAGATAAACCTTACTTAAATTTAAACTATATTCAATATTTGAGCAAAATATAATTTATTTCATTATTCAATCCTAAAACAGCATAGGTGAAAAATTTTAATTTTACATAAAATCTTACTAGGACAAAGCTCTTTTTCCCCACAATGCAAATTCCAATTACAATCTGAATAGTCTATCAGGTCAAATTAATTTTGTCTAAAAGCTAATCCACTCTTCCCTCAAAACCAGAAACCCTGGAGAAAGTACTTACAAGTGGGAAAATATCAATAAATTGATATTGACTCTCGACATAATTTTTATCATTATTATGATAGTCCCATTTCTCTAGGATGAATGACTTTCATTGATTTTCAAATTTGCTTCAAGTAGCTATACCAAGCATTTATTCAAAAAAAATTTTATACTGAATAAACATTAACTTCTCCAAAGAATCTCAGAGTACAGAACTTAAGCACCTCACCTACTCCAGATCCCCTCCTCTTCAAAATCTTTTCTAAATTAAAAAATACTTTTGGGAGGGTAGGAGCAGGATTGGCAGTAATGGGAAGCGATGGCGGGGGGGGCGGTGAGATGATGACACACCTCATCAACAAGGGTACCTGCATAATGAACATTTGTATACCTAACCCTGCATCCACCCCACATATTTAAAATAAAATAATAATAATAATAAAAAACAAACAAAAAGACCACTGTTGAGACCAGTATGGGTGTTGCAAAAAAAACTCCACTGTGTCCCAAGCTACAAAAAGGGCATTCTGCATTCTGTGAAACAGGGAGTTCAACAAAGTAAACAGATTTATTTATAGCACTACTTCTATACACTGTTAATAGTCTAATATTTAATAAATGGAACTTGAAAGACATTAAGTAGTTTTCTTAAAACTCATGGCAGGTCAGTCTCTTATCAGGAAAATTCAATTATCCTTGACCTCACTTCTTGGTGCCTCTGCTCATCTAGATACTCACTAGTATTCTTTCTTTCATGTCTATGATCAACTTACTTTAGGCTTTTAGCAGTTCCAAATCCCCTACTACTTTCTGATATCCTGTCATTATCAAGCTGCACTATTTTATATAGAAAGTATCAACAATTACAAAAAGTCACAACACACAATGGACAGTTGAACCCAAAAAAATGTGCTACGTGTTATTTACTTTTGTGGATGATCAACTTTTCCAGTTTTCTTTTAGCAGCTGCTCTTTCCACAATTTTCTGATCGATAGTATTTGCTGTAACAAGGCGATACACAACAACGGGCTTTGTCTGACCAATTCTATGACATCTATCCTGGGCCTGAAGATCAGACTGGGGATTCTTAAATTTAAAAAGGAAAATATCATTTAACAGTACCAGGTTAAAATTAACTTAAACTCATAACATGTGAGTAAAGTAAACATGAACGAGTTAATCAGAAACTTTTAAACAATGGTGTCTTAATTTATACTTCTAGAGTGACTTCATAAGTAAAATTTTCATTCCATAGACTCTTGATAATCTTAAGAAAAAACTTAAATACCCCAAGTTTTTATATGCAGAAAACTTTATACAAAAATGACTCCGCAGAGTATGGTTATCTTTACAAAATAGATAAATGAATTTACAATGCAAACAAGGAAATATTTTTTAAAATTCAGAATGAAAATATAATTAGCATATTGATATACTTCCAACTTACCCAATCACTGTCATAAATTATAACTGTATCTGCTGCAGTCAAATTAATGCCCAGGCCCCCAGCTCGTGTACTCACTAAGAAGATAAACACATCTGGATCTGTGTTAAAGTTGTGCATCTTTAAAAGCAAAAAAGAAAGTAAACACAACAAATTAAGAAAGAAAATAGTACCAACAAGGAAAAAACTTTATAATTACAACTGTGAAAATCTTATGCAAGGCAGAACAAACACACCATTCAGATCTTTAAAACAATTATGTCAACTAAATAAGACCTGTGGTTCATGCTAACTTTATTTCCTAAGCATATTTTTATTTAAATGTTTTAAATAAAAACATGTTTAGGATGTTTTAAATTTATCCCAAAACCCAAAATATGCTAAAGTTATCAGAGAAAAGAGTATTAATATCTATAATTATCTTGAAATGCACTAAAAGAGGATGGAATGTTGAATAGATACACCAATGCTGATTCATGGGTATGTGATTTTTAAAAGGTACTAGCAGTGATTATAGGTGAACTTCCAGTTGTTTATTGTTTTTTCCAGCTTTGCTATGTATCTACAATTTTCATAATAAAATGCTGAGGACAAGGCAAAAAGCTGAAAATCCCTGCCATCCCAATAGCCTTACAGTGATGGTTAAATAGGATATTATTATATAAGGCTGTACAAGAAGACATAAAATTTGAGAATCAAAAGTTCAGACTTATTAATACTAAATCCAAATGGTATTTCTGATCCATCATAGAGTTTTGGGGTCATGTCTATCTTCTTATCAATTTGTGGGTCTCTTTTGAACATTACTTCAGAAATCAAGATAGGAGTTATAAAGAGTTTGGTAGGTACGCCATAAGCAGTCTTACATTTTTTTCTCTCTCTGAGTAAGACATGGACCCATCAAGTCTGCTAAAGTTGAAATTTCTAAGATGGCAGAAATCCATCAAAATGTCCAGCATCCTCGTCATTTGTGAAAAAAGCAGCACCTGAAATTTAAATATACCTTAATATGCATACTGATTAATGAAGAATAATTAAACAATAAAAATTTCAATCAGAAGTATCACCTTGTGACCTCTTTTTTTAAGTTCCGGCAACATTCGATCCAAAATTAAGAATTTCCCGGAAGTTGTTATCAACTCTTCATTGATCTGAAAAATGGGCAAGGAAAACCAAGAGAAAACTGTCATAATAACTACTAATCATTTGCTTTGTCAAAACAAGACATTTGAGAAGTTCAATTTTCAATGAAAAAGAAGTCACTTAAAAACTGCTTTGTTGTTCAATCTTTTTATTTCTCAAAGACATACTCCAGAATGTAAAACCAGTTGATTTCACAAAAACAAAATCAAGTGTAAGTGTATCTGTGGCTTATAATCCCAATCCTCTCTCAAAAGCTTTGAATAAGACAACAATACGTTCAAACTTTGTGTGAGTAAACTGAGGTTTATTCTTTAAAACAGCAGATCTCTAATAAAATGCATAGGAAAATTGCTCCTAGAATTCATAGTAGAAATTAAAGAAAATACAGGAGGCTTTAAGCAATCTAAATATCATGAGTGAAGACATTTTTCACCTTCTGGTGAAATTACCTCATCCAGAGGGGTACTTTCAATTTGAGCAGGGAAGTTTTATCTCCTCACTTAAATTTTGCCCTCCACCTACAGAGGAGACTTAGCAGGGGGCTGAAAACATTTCAAGTTGCCTTAACTTAGGAAGGTGAATATTACTGACATCTAGGGGTAAGGATAGGAAATGCAGCTAAGTGCCCTATGTGCACAGGATTACCTCCTAAGAAAGAACTTCCTGGTTCAAATGGCAATATTGCCAGGGGTGGAAAATCCTGTAGTAAACTACTACAAAACAAGGGTTATTGGGGGTTGCAAAGATCTGACTCAATACTATGCTGTTTTTCTACCAACTACCCAAGAAAATAATTTCATTCACCTGCACTCTGAAAGTCCTCAACTCAAAATTGGTTTTATGCTTTGGCAACTTACTGATATTTAAGCAATGAGCAGCCAGGTTGATTTTCAAAAAACTGCATAATAACTATAAAAGGAATACTGAAAAGGTGACATATATCTCTGAAACATAGCAAGTAAATATGAAGAGTAGAAATTAAATGCCTTACTGAATTCAGAATTCTTAGTGGCTCACATAATCTTTGTAATTAGAAATATTATTTGCAGCCGGGCTCGGTGGCTCAGCCTGTAATCCTGCGCCTTTGGGAGTCTGAGGTGAGCGGAATGCCTGAGACCACAGGTTCGAGACCCGCCTGGGCAGGCGAGACCTCATCTCTACAATAAAATCAAAAAATTAGCCGGGCGTGGTAGCACGCGCCTGTAATTCCGGCTAATCCGAAGGCTGAGGTGGAAGGATGGCCGGAGCCCAGAAGGTTGAGGCTACAATGGCCGGGAGCGGCCACTGCACTCCAGTCCAGTTGGAGTGAGACTCCAACTCAAAAAAACCAAAAAAACAAAAAAAAAAATATTATTTGCACATAGAAAGTGTATATCCTAAGTGTACATCATTCCACTCATAAAGTTCTCTAAATTGGGGGGACAAGATTGTCTCAGCTGACTGAAGAATTACAATCTTCAAATGGAAAACAGCACAATATTATTTTTTAATAATAATAATCACAGTAACACTTTCCTCCAATATTAAAAGTTATAGAAATCAAAACAGTAAGTTACTAAACGATAGTCACCTTAAATTCTTGTGTAACAGGGTCTATAGGATACTCAATCAAATATGGATGATTACAGCATTTACGAAGTAGCATCATTATATTCTGCAGTTTCAGATTAACTTCAGATTCTATAGGGACATTCACTTCGACAACAGTTCTACCAAAAACAAGTGATGCACACACATGAGAATGCAAGAAATACCACAGTTCCATAAATATTTAAATTTATTTTTAAACTCATACCTTTCTCGTTTCACCTCTGGCTGTATCTGACTGATCAATTTTTCTAATTCATTAGGGAAATCATCTATTTTGCTATAATTTATTGACTTCCTAGTTCGCCGTTTTGGCCGTCCAGTAGGAGTTACATCAACTGTTTCTTGCTAAAAAAAAAACAAATTAAAGGAGTATGTTTTAAAAGTTGTATCCTTACGATCTAAATGTAAACAAAATGTGGCATAAAAAATAATTTTTTAAGGTATAAAGAAAAAGTAATTGTCTTCAGCAAACTCCCAAAGGTACAAAGGGATCTATAACCTATAGCCCAATGCAAATGTTTTGTGCAATTCGTTTTAACACTGGTGACAGTATCTGAAAAGTAAGTGCCTTCATGTCTTAGTAGAGAAAACTTAAGGGCATATAAAACTACTTGGAACTTGTATAAAAAGATCTAATAGCTTAAAGTTGAACTAAGGCTACACAAATTTGAGGATATTTCTTTGTATTAGGGTAATACTGCATGAAATTTCTCATAACACACAAGTACTGTAAGTTTCTAACAGCTAAAAAAAGCTGAATTCTTTTAAAAATTATAATTAATATTAAAAGAGAAGAACATCTAACAGCTATATTAAACAGAAAAATGTATGATAAATATTTTGAAAAGAAAGCACATAGGTACACAGTGTAAAAATCAGACATCCAAACACTTAAAAAAAAATCCAAGGGTCATCTTTAGTTACATGTTAATTGCATCCTAACCTCAACTCTTGTAACATGGTGAATGAAAATGTCAATATTTCTTTCAAATAAATTATTCTATTAATCCTTCTGGCTACCAATAATCTACTTTAAGAAATCACACAGGTTGAGCATCACTAATCAGAAAACAAAATGCCCAATAAGCATTTTCTTTGATGTAACACATCAGCACTCAAAATGTTTCAAATTTGGAGCATTTTCGATTTTTGATGTTCAACTACATATGAAGTGTCTGGTCTAGTTTCCAAGCTGTTATTCAGGTATTCTCAAATAACTGTGTGCTTGTTAAAAATGCATTTCCAAGTCTATCCCCAGACAGCACAATTAGGATCTGGTGCAGCAAACTAAAATTTTAACAAATACTCCAGATAACTATATAGCAATTAATGCATGGACCACAGACCGTAGGTAAGAACTTTTCCACCTCTGAAAACACATAGGGAGCCATAAGACTGAAATCACAATAAAGTTTTATATGCCAAGTCTCAGTCAAAGTATCCTTCAAATCCCCACTCTACCTCACTGGCTCCAAACATGTTTGCAATTGTACGGTTCACAATGGCTGTATAAAAGATCTCTTGTTTCTTTGAAAGCGGTGCATAAACAACTACTTCTCGTTTAGGAGGAACTTCAAGAGCTACATCAGATTTTAATCTTCTTAATAAGAAAGGGGTTAGAATCTAAAATTAAAACACGAAAAGACAGATATGAATTAGACATTCCTATTTTTTCAGGGAATACTGTTCCCACATTGGCCTTTACCCTGTCTTTTGCCTTCCTAAACAAATAGTATCCAGTCTCAAAAAGTGAGATTAGCCGGGCTCGGTGGCTCAGCCTGTAATCCCGCACCTTGGGAGGCTGAGGTGAGTGAATTGCCTGAGTCCGCGAGTTCAAGACCCGCCTGGGAAACTTGGCGAGACCTCCTCTCTACAATAAATCAAAAAATCAGCCGGGTGTGGTAGCACACGCCTGTAGTTCCGGCTACCTGGAAGGCTGAGGTTGAAGGATCGCTGGAGCCCAGCAGGTCGAGGCTGTAGTGGCCAGGAGCGGTCACTGCACTCCAGTCTGGGCGACAGAGTGAGACTCCAACTCAAAAAAAAAAAAGTGAGATTAAATCTTAAAGGTGAGCACATGATAAACTTACATTTATCCGTGGCATCACAATTCATGAATCTTTTAAAAACTCAATCTACCTTGAATAATTTGAAAGGTGAAAATAAAAAGTTAATATTTATTTTTCTTAGTGATATAAAGCTTTCAGTTATAGTTCACAACATTTAGAATGAGGTTTTAGGCTAGTAGAAAGCCAACAGACAGAGATGTAGACATGAAAGTTGCCTTCTGTAACTTATAAGACTTTAGACTTAAAATTATGCTGGTTGAGCAGGGTGCAATGGCTCACACCCGTAATCCCAGCACTGTGGCAGGCCAGGCAGGAGAACTGCTTGACCCGAGGAGTTCAAAGTCAGCCTACACTACATAGTAAGATCCTGTCTCTACCAAAAAAAAGTCAAAACACTAGCAACAAGCTACTCAGAAAGCTGAGGCAGGAGACTATCCTGAGGTCAGGAGGTTGAGGCTGTGGTATGCTTTGAAATGTACCACCGTACTCTAGCCTGGGTGACAAAGTGAGACCCTGACTCCAAAAAAATTACTCTGCTTCATTAGCTGGTGGTATTAACAAGTGATAATCACATTCATAAATAGAACATAAAAGTAATAGATAATTATATTAAACTGAGTGAGCCTTTAAAAACACAAAAAAAGTACTTATAACAATTTTAATTTATAAACTTTTAGGAGTTGACAATAATTTACAGGTAGTAATTATATATAGTAAACCTCATTTTCCAGGCTCTGTACTTAAACATCTCACAAGTATAGGGCAAAGCATAGAAAGACTAAACCACAGAAACAAGAAAGCATTACCAATGGTTTAAGAAAAAAAGGTATCTTCAGATATCATTATAGATATGCCTATAAGCAATTAGGGAAAAAAATGTAAATGATCCATAAACATGTTAAAACGTGTTCATATACTTAAAGAAAACATCAAAATAATGGCATATACTTTTCTATCATAGGCACTGATAAATATTACTGTCTGAAGTTATCTAAAAATGGCAACTATGAAAGAAAAGGAATTCCACTGCCAAAGGAAATATATAAAGGATATTTACAAATATATCTGCTAGTATACAAGTATCCTAAAAAACAGATAAGCACAAGTAAGAAAACTGTTTCATGAAATCCATCTCTACCAAAAGAAAAAGAAAACATTTAGCTGTGCATGGTAGCATGGTACATAGCTACTCAGGAGGCTGAGGCAGGAAGATCTTTTGAACCCAGGATTTTGAGGCTATAGTAAGCCATGACTGAGCCAGCACTCCTGCCTGGGCAACAGCCAAAACCCTATCTCTGGGTGAGGGGCAAGACTACTGAATTATTTCAAAAATAGTAATTTTAAAATAAAAAATAGTTGTACAAAGACAGTAAAAAAAAATTTAAAGACACTGTATCTTTGTAATGAAAAAATTATATTGGGAATGGTACAAACTTTAATCTCAGTATCAATAAGCAAACTAGTTTTTAAGTTTTATTTCTATAAATAAGATAAAAATTTAAAAGATCATTAGAAGATTAGCTAAATGCAGATTTTAAGATGAAAGAATGAAGTCTTTAAGTATAAATCAGAATCGTAACTTAAAATTTTAGATGTATAAATAAAAACTATTGGCAAACCTGCAAGCTTTTCAATAACTGTAACATCTTTAAGAATGATGGTTCTTAAGGTATGAGACTTAATCTCAACAGAGTACTTAGATAAAAGAATATGAAAAAACAAAAACATCCAGCATCTTCCATGCAATTTACTTTAAAAAATGCCCCCACCATTCACAATAAACTGTTGAATATGAATGACGGGATATAATGAAAGCTTATTATCAAACACTAAAATTCATGTAAATTTTAAGTTATTTACACTAAAACAGTAATTCAAGTGAGCTCTCTTCTGACATGACCAACTATAGCAATTACTACAAATGTTCAATCAAATGGGATATGGCCTTTATCAGGAATATCTTTAAGTATAGATACTACAACCTTGTTTATATTAAAGTTTTGAAATGGGAAGAGGTAGACATAATTATAATGGACCAGAACAATGGGATACTAAGCAGTTATTAAAAATCAGAGTTGGCCGGGCTTGAAGGCTCAGCCTATAATCCTAGCACTTTGGGAGGAAGAAGCAAGTGGATTGCCTGAGACCACAGGTTCAAGACCAGGCCAGGCAACTTGGCTAGACCCAGTCTCTACAATAAACAAAAAAATTAGCCGGGAGTGGTAGCACTCGCTAGTATTAGCTAGTTCCAGCTACTTGGAAGGCTGAGGCAGAAGGATCACCAGAGTTGACAGGCAGAGGATCGCAGGTTTACACTGGGGTGGCCGTGAGTATGCCACAGCACTCCAGCCTGGGCGACAGAGTGAGACTCCAATTCAAAAATAAAATAAAATAAAATAAAAAGTAGAGTTAAGTCTACATATATTAGGAAAAAAATAACTTTCTAATAATTTTTTAAAAGACTGCTTTAGCCAGGCACAGTGGCTCATGCCTATAATCCCAGCAATTTGGGAGGCAGAGGCGAGAGGACTGCCTGAGCCCAGGGGTTTGAGACCAATCTGGGCAATGTGGCAGGATTTGTGTCAAGAGTAAATCAATAAATAAAAAAAATTAGCTTGACGTGGTCACAGGTACCTATAGTCCCAGTTACTTGGAAGGCTGAGGAGGCAGGATCACCTGAGCCCAGCAGGCTTTAGTTTGTGCCACTGCAGCTTGGCAGCTTGGGTGACAAAGTGAGACTCAAAAAAAAAAAAAAAAAGACAATAACCAAGAAACTACTTTAAGGAACAATTTTATTTTTTCAAAATCTTTCTTCAGGATCGCCTGAGCCCAGGAGGTCGAGGCAGTGGTGAGTCATGACTGTGCCACCACACTCCAGCCTTGACTCCAAAAAAAGTTTATATATATTCATGAGAAAAATGGGAAGTAGTTGAGAAATGTAAAGTAAAATACTACTTTTTTGCCAAAATCATACTCGCTAGCAGTATATACTGAATGTTGTGTTATGTCTTTTCAGACTTTTTCTTTGTGTAAGCACATGTGTTTTATCTATACCTAAAGTTGTTGGTTTTTTTATTATTTTTTGAATTGAAGTCTCATTCTGTCAAGCAGGCTGGAATACCGTGGCATGCTCACAGCCACCGTAGCCTTGGCCTGCTGGGCTCAGGTGATCCTTCTGCCTCATTTTCCCAAATAGTTGGAAACGCAGTTGTGCGCACCTGGCTAATTTTTGATTTATTGTAGAGACGAGGTCTCACCAAGTTGCCCAGGCTGGTCTTGAACCCCTGGGCTCACACAAGCCTCTCACCCTGCCTCACGAAGTGCTGTGATTACAGGCATGAGCCATCACACCTGGCTAATTTTTATAACATTTTGTAGAGGCAAAGCCTTGCTATTTTTCCCAGGCTGGTCTCAAACTTCTGGGCTCAAGGAATCCTCTAGCCTTGGCCTTCCAAAGTGCTGGAATTACAGGCCTAGGCTACCACTCCCACTCCATCATGAGCATATATATGTGTGTATATAAACTTTAAAATCAGAAAAAACATGTAACAAATACGTGTGTGTACCTCTGAATTAAAAATAAAAAATAAAATAAGCCAGGTATGGTAGCTCACACCTACAATTCCAGAATTTTGGGAGGTGAAGGAGAGAGGACTGCCTGAGCCCAGGAAAAAAAAAAGAAAAGAAAGAAAGTAACCACTATGGGTAACATGAGCATATGAAACGGGCAAAATTTAGGTAAGCACTTGAATTCTGCAATAAAATGATGTGAACCCTGACAACAGGGAAAGGGCAGGGGAATCATTTAAATTTGGGGAAATCCTCATTTTTGAAATCTCCTATAAACGGTTAAACAGGTGATCTCTAGGATTCCTTTTTCATTCTATGAGCCTACAGTAAGCAGAACAAGAAAACAGTAAAAACCTGGTGCAGCATATGCAATACATTCTGCTCTCTTTCTTTAGCAATAATATCTTCAGCAGTTTCAGAAAGACTAGTGATGTCAAACCATGACTCAAAGCTGGAAGACAAAAAGGTTACAAGTTAGTCTATTACATATTAATAACATGATACCTTACAATGTACAATAATCTGGGATGTAAAATGTTGCATCAAATCCTCAGATGCAGTTTTAAAAATCACAATGAAAAAGAACACATTCAAACAACAAAGATATAGTGATTGTTTTTAAACTAACAATCCAGAACTGTGATCTTACACCTGTATGATTCATAAATATATTAACAATCTTACAAAAGTGCAAAAAATCAAGTAAGGATTAAAATACATACTTTATGGGACATTTTATGTTACAGAAGTAAGAACTTTGAAAACTAAGGCCATATGATATGTCTCTGAGTACAACTATGACTCACTACAACAAATGTTCTTAAATTCAAGGCATAACTTGATGACAATTTCTATAACACATCCTTAGTCCTTTCCAGTGTAAAAAAAAAAAAAAAACACTATTAAAGTAAGTATAAGCATGAAGATTTATAATATATATTAGGCAACATTAAGTCCAACTGTGAAATATGCAGCAACATCTATGCAGCGGTTAGACTAGGTAGTCTCAAACTTGGGTCACTCGAGGCATGTTCAAAAAATTCAGCGCTGTGACTCATGCCTGTAATCCCAGTGCTTTGGAAGGCAGAGGCAGGAAGATTGAGCCCAGGAGTTGGAAGCTGCGGTGAGCCGGGATCATGCCACTGCCTTCCTGCCTGAGTGTCAAGGTGAGAACCAGGGGGAAAAAAAAAATCAAATTCCAAACGCCTACCTCAATATTCTAACTTAGTAGGTCTGAACATGACCTGGAAATCTTAGCCTTTAATAAAAGTTCCCACAGTGACAATAAGACATTCTGGCCTTGAGACAGCATTTGGTAACCAGATTTGAAATATATTCTCAAAAGATCCAATGTTTCTAAAATAAAAACACTACACTGAAATTGGGAGACTCTTGTTTTAGTTTCAGCTCTTCCACTAGTCATATCTCGTAACTTTACACCTAGGTTTTCTTTTATGTGAGAATAAATGTAACCTCTCCCTGGATTTTATGAGGATAAAATGAGAAAAATCCATCTTAAAAGTGTTTGACAAAGGTAACACATAAGAGTATTATTATAAAAACTGTCTTAATGTAGCATTCAAGTCTTCCTTTAATCAGTGCAAATAAGTTTTAAATAATCTTTTATTTGTCTCATATAATGTGCCAAAAGGACATTCAATATACACCACGAAGAATTTGCCAAAAACATTATCATTTTAATTCAGCTATCTAGAAGAAATAAATTTTAATGAAGAGTACAGAATTTTGAGGTTTGAAAAATATACAAAACAGTTAAATAGCTGGCTTATGTTACCTACCTTTTCAAGTCATCAAATACATCTGGTAACAAAAAGTTTAGCAATGACCAAAGTTCTGATAAATTGTTTTGCAAAGGAGTACCAGTCAAAAGAAGTTTGTTATCAGCATTGAATCGTTTTAACTCCCTGATAAGACGGCACTTCATATTCTTAATCCTGTGTCCTTCATCAACTATTAAGTATTTCCAATAGCAATGCTAGAAAATGAATTAAGGGGAAAAAATCTTTAAATAACGATCTCACAATTTTTCCTAAAAACAATTCTAAAAATAAAACCTCTTTTGAGAGATAGGTGTGGAATTCTATCAAATGTTGTTTCAGTAACTATTGAGATGACCATGTTGTCCTTTGATCCACTTACGAAATAAATTTAAAAATTCCCAAAACTGATATGTAGTTGTGTTCCTACAACAGTCCTCATTAGGACATTAAATCCAACTGGTTTTTTGTATTTTTCTCATTCATCCTTTAGTCAAAGAAGTCTGTAGCTTTCCCTTCTATTGTTTTGACAAGCTTTGATAATACTTTTACACTAGATTCTTAAACATTGAAAGCTTTCATTAAGTCCATATGCTCTGAAAGATATAATAGCATTAGAATTTGCATTCTTGAGGCCTACCTGATACTGACACTCTGTAATCTGATGATGTCCTCAATTTTCTTAGATTCCTATTGACTTGTTTAGGTTTTCTCCCTTTATTTTAGCAGTTTGTATTTTCATAGAAAGTCATACATTTACTTTCATGAAGTTGCCATGAATGTTTTTCTTTTACTTTCTCATTTTTAATATCTGTACCTTCTTTTATAATCTTGATTAGGCCAACTTATAATTCACCTAATGCATTTACATACAGAAATATGCAATATTTCTGAAAATATAAATACCAATTTGGAATGTATAAGTAGCCTTGAAAAATGAGACAAACTGAGGAAAAAGTATGAATATAGAACATCAGATAATCACCTCTCACAAGACACCTATCTAAGAATGCCAGATAAAAATATAAAATACCCCTTATAATGAACAGAAAAAAGAAAAGAGAAGAACCAACGAAACAAATGATTAGGAATCTGAAAAACAAACAGCAAGTGGATTCAGACACTTCCGCTGATACTTCCCCGCTACCACTCAGCAACAAGAGTCCTGGAATCCCCCACTCCCGTTACTTCCCTCAATGGAAGATCCTTGAAATAACAAGCTCAGTGAAAGGGAAAACTAGAAATACTCGAGCCACTGGCAAAGGGGCCAGACAAGGAAACACCTCTATATGTTAGCAATAGTTATTTAGTATAAAGTCAGTAATTCTCCAGTGGAATTAAAGGTGTGTTTACATCTTCCCGTACATTGGTGATAATTTTATACAAGCCATAATTCCTCCATTTATGACCTATGTGCTTTGATTTTATGTTGAAACCATTCTTTAAGTTTGCATGCAAGTAAGAAAAATCTGAGAGGGATATACTTGCCAGGAGACCACATGGTGAGAGAAAGAAAAAACAAAGCATAAAGAATATAAGTGCAATAGGTGGAACTGTAAGGAAGAAGCTCAAAACACCAATAAATGAATTAATAGAAGGCAGGAGAGAAGAAAGGTTAATTTCCAACTGCATTTTATTAGCTTGGGCATTAAAAAGTAAGTAGCTTGAATATACAATTTAAAAATATGAAAGCATCACCACGTGGTCCTATAGGAGTATTCCATTCTTTTTTTCTTTTAAGTTTTAAAGTTTATTAGAGAAAGAGTGGAAAAGGGAGACATGCCAGAGCTGACACGGGCAAAAGAAACTACACAAATATTCTATCCTTATTTGATTAAAATAAATACAATGGATAGGTAAAAGTTCCACATATTCAAAGTACTTCTGTAAGATATTCAGAAACTAGGTCTATGTCTGACTGATTTTAACACATTTAAAGTAATACCACCAAAAGTTAGTGTCATAAGCTTTCATTTAACTATTTTAGGCTACAGCCTTCATCCCAACCTTTCTGTTAATATAAGTCTCCAGTTTCTAGAGAAACATCACAATATAACCTATTTATATCAACCAAAAAATAAATTAGACATAAGCTGCTGGATGGTGAGAAAGTGGCATCAATTAAGGAAAATGTTACAAATTACACAGAAACTAATGAAGACTATTTGTACCTGTAATGCATTTCGGTCTCTCATGGCTATTTCAAATGAAGTGATTACCACAGGATGAATCTGCAGCGTCCCTGTTCGTTTGTGAATATTTCTTACCAATTTCCGACGTTCCTCCTGGGTTCCATGATACAACATAGTAGGAATCTAAAAGATTTTATATATTTTTATAAGAGGTTTTAGAGCAAAATATAAATATCAATTATTTGAAAAATATTAAATTACTCTTTTAGAGTAGAAAGATGATTAATTTTAGTTCTATTTTTCTAAAACAAAATGAGCCAAGAAATTTTAACAAGTTAGACTGCTAAGGGAGAAAATGTTTTAAAAGCCATATAAATAAAACAAATAAGTATAAAAAGAGGAAGATGGTGAAACTTCTTCTAAAATATATAGTTCTCACAGGGCAAGAATGTAATAAGACAACATGTGCACAGGAAAAAAAATACCATAATAAAAAATTCAAAAACATTCTACCTAAGTCTGTCTCAGTTGACTCTAATTATCCAATGCACTGAAAACCATTCAGAAGCACTGTAGGGAAGAGGTCCATGATTATCAAAACCTACTGCATGTAAATTTAAAACAGGGTACTGCTCAGATTGAATAATCAAATCAGATACAATGTTTATACAGAAATCGATATAATTATTGAAAAGGGTCTACAACTTAACTCCTACAACAAAATGGAATGAAACATGTGAAATAATATTTTTAATTTAAGGAACTAGGTCTTACTTCTGGTGTAAATCTTTCAAACTCAGCCATCCAGTTCGGAAGTGTAGACAGAGGGCCACAGACAAGAAAAGGTCCAGGTACTCCTCTCTGAATCATCAACGCAATTGTAGCAATGCACTGAACTGTCTTTCCCAAGCCCATTTCATCTGCTAAAATGCCATTAATTCCATTTTCCCAAAGCATCTGGACAAAGTAATATACATTGTATTTAAATTTTAATATAAACACTTACTGAATTAGCAATGGTTTACTTCTCTTTTAAAAAAATCGTTCCCAAAAAGATAATTATTTTAAGACTGATATAGTAACCCCATACATTTATAACAATATTGTCACATTAACCAACAGCATAAATGTTGAGTCTTTAACAAAATAATCTTCAATACTAAAAATTTACTCAGGGTAAAGAAATCAGAAAATAAGTATCTACACACAAATATTTGCTTTATGTATAACAGTGAAACATAAAAGGAATTACTCAAGCTGTGGTAAACCACAGTACTAAGCCACACTAGAAATGAACCAATCTTGTATTAAAAGCGACAGTTCATTACCCTAAGCCATTCCATGCCTTCTACTTGGTACCACCGCATCACTCCTCCTGTGAAGTACTTTGGTTGTTGAAAAGGAATTGGCTGTCCATTACATTTCCGAACTGGGTCAAAAAAGAATTTAGTATTCTGTCTAACAGTTTGAGACAATCTATCTTTAATTATACTATTTGAATCTTTATTTTTCTGGATATCTTCTACAGAGAGATTATTAGAAGAGTTGTCTTCATCCTGTAAAGAAATAAGTTTAATTAGAAGTCTGATAAATATTGTTGCCATGATCCATCCAATTATCAGAAAATGTAACTAATAATCAAAATCTACCTAGTCCTATAATCATTAAGTATGGAGAAGTAAGACCATATCTGGGTTAAAAACCTATAGACATTTCCATTCCCCTACAAATAAAAAGCCATTAAAAACAATTCACCAAGCGTGGGGCACACCTATAGTCCCAGCACTTTGGGAGGCCAATAATGTAAACTGGAATTTTCATACATTGCTGGGAGAAAATAAAAAGGAACATTTACTTGGAGGAAAAAAAATCTGTATTTTCTTATAAAGTTAAATACACACTTTTTACCATATAACCCAACAATCCCACTCCTAGGTATATAGGCAAATAACATGAAAACATGCCACACAGACCTGTATACAAATAACTACAGTGGCCTTACTCATAAAAGTCACAAAGATGACAGATAAGAAAACTAATTTCTTTCAATAAAATACTACTCAGCAATAAAAAGATACGAACTACAAATACACTCAACGATATAATGAGTATCAGTAGTCATGTTGAGTGAAAAAGGAAATAAAGCAGACTGTAAAAGATGTCTAAAGTGGTCTCTTTTGGGTTTCGGTGTGGGGAAATCACTGGAAAACTACACAAGTTATACCACAATGAAAATGTTCTATACTCCGATTTGGATGGAGGTTACAAAAGTATGTGGATGTCCCAATATTCATTAAAATGTACATTTAAGAACTGTTCATTTCTTATTGACTGATTGTAAATTATGAGGCCAACATTCCACAGTTAATCATGATAGAAAATTTGACTGTGACTTTATTTTTAAAAATGCAACTAAATGTCATAAAAATAATCTTTTATTGACATTTAATGGGTGACAACTGCAACGATAAACCAACCCTTATACTAACAAAGAATAAAAATCAAAGAGCATTTATGGTATGAATTTTGGATAAAATCATCATGGCCAAATAATAATACCACGCAGAGTCGGGCATGGTGGCTCACACCTGTAATCCTCAGCACTTTGGGAGGCAGAGGCAAGAGGATTGCCTTGAGCTCAGGGGTTCAAGATCAGCCTCAGCAACATGGCAAGATCTCATCTCTACAATTAAAAAAACAAAACAAAAGCTAGACTAGTTCCAGCTACTTGGAAGGCTGAGGTGGGAGGACTGTGTGAGTCCAGCAGGTCGAGGCTGTGGTAGCCAGTGAGCATGCCACTGTACTCCCGGCTTGGGCAACAGAGTAAGACTTCGACTCAAATAAAAAATAAGCCGGGCTTGGTGGCTCAGCCTGTAATCCCGCACCTTTGGGAGGCTGAGGTGAGTGGATTGCCTGAGCCCACGGGTTCGAGACCTCATCTCTACAATAAATCAAAAAAAAATCAGCCAGGCGTGGTAAGCGCATGCCTGTAATTCCGGCTACTTGGAAGGCTGAGGCGGAAGGATCGCCAGAGCCCAGCAGGTCGAGGCTGCGGCGGCCAGGAGTGGCCACTGCACTCCAGCCTGGGTGACAGAGTGAGACTCCAACTCAAAAAAAACAAACAAAACAAACAAATAAAAAATAATACCGTTCACTTTATAAACCCATCATTAATTTTCCAAGAACCTAAAAATCTTTGATATGTAAGTTGATTGCCTAAAGTTCATGTCCATTAGCAAATATTTTCACATTTCAATAACTTTGTCACTGTTTCTACCCATGATTACAAGCATGTGCATCACTGTCAGACTCACAAGTTAAAAGCATCATTGCTTGACTCATAAATTAGTATTTACACATCAAGAAACATGCAAAAGGCTTGGAGCAATGGCTCAAGGCTGTAATCTCAGCACTTTGGGAGGCTAAGGTGAGAGGATTGCCTAAGCCCAGGGGTTTGAGACCAGCCTGGACAACTTGGCGAGACCTTGTCTCTACAATAAATCAAGAAAAATGAGTCAAGTGTGGAGGCACACACCTGTAGTTACAGTTACTTGGAAGGTGAGACCTCACCTCTACAATAAATCAAAAAAAAATTCAGCCGGGTGTGATAGCGCATGCCTGTAATTCCGGCTACTTGGAAGGCTGAGGCGGAAGGATCACCTGAGCCCAGCAGGTCGAGGCAGTGGTGGCTGTAAGCATGCCAGTGCACTCCAGCTTGGGTGACTGAGACTCCAACTCAAAAAAAAAAAAAAATGCAACAAGACCTAACTAAAGTTGATACATAAAAAAGAGGAATGTTAGGACAAAAACTAAATAGATGGCTTTGCTTTTTATTAAAAAAAAAAAAATGAGATAGTAGGAAAAATGTACACAGGTTATGAAGGGGTCTAGTGACTAGGTCACAAATATTACTTCTAAATTTAATTTTCTATTATAAATCTCTTACCTCATTCATCGTTTTATTTTTTTTAGCCACAGACAAAATTTCCTAGAAAATTGAGGAAACAAAAACAAATTAATAATATACAAGTTTCATTTATTCAATAAACATTATTCTAGGCTAATGTTGCCAGGAAACTGGGATGAGGCTCTCAAAGTAATTAAAATAGAGATCTCAAGCTGGTGGTCCTCAGACAGAATGAAGTCTATAGACATTATTGACTCATAGTCTTTCATAAAATTCTACGTTAATTAGCAAGTGAATTTAAAAACTGGAGTAATTTCTCAAATATCTGGATTGTCTAATCTTTTTTTTTTTAATCTGAATACAATAAGTACAAAGTCACATATGACAGCAATCCTCTAGTGTTGGGGTCAGCAAATTATAGTCTTTATATCAACTCGAGCTAACACTTTGCTTTTACAAACAGTCTAAATATTTACAAAAGTCAGGCTCTTTTATTTGTAGTTTGTCTGTGATTGCTTTCAGGCTACAACAGCAGGGTACAGGGCAGAGCAGTTACCCACAAAACTACTCAAAAGCTAAAATATTCACTAACTGCCTTTTTACAGGAAAAGTTTGCCAATCCATGTTCCAGTATACTCTAGGACTCTGGGTAGACATCTGAGTTTACAATTCTGAGTCTAACAGCAAAGACAAATGCATTGACAATACAGAAGAGAGTATGCTAATTTTGAAGTAGCAGCAGATGCTAGGGGCATGGAGACAATAATACTTGAGTGTCACTTGGTAGATGAGCAATGCATTATGTTAGATCAAATTATCTGAAAAGCTGTCACCAGGCTTCCTCAGTAGATATAATTATGGTACATTTCAAGCTGGGAAAACAGAATGTGCAGAATACAGAGGGGCATTCAAGAAACTTTAAGCATTATCAAATTTAAGATTCACAGGAGAGTGAGAAGACATGTTAAGTGGCTGACATATATACATAGGATGATCACACATGTATAGGTATGTACTGTGTGTGAAAAGTATTATGTAAGTTCAGATATTCATATTCTAAGTCTAAAAGAAAATTTACATAAGGAGGTGATAAGTGGATTTCTCTGAAATGACTAGATAAGCTGAACCTTTTAATAGACAATTTGGAAATAAATCAAAATATATAACCACCACCATCTATGAAATAGTCTCATTAAAAAATTAAACCTCAATCACAAATTTTTAGATGTAATTATCAGCTAACAGGAAACACAGAGGCAGAGAAATTACGGGAATGTAATAAGCAAAATCCAGGATGTAGGAAATTACATAGAATTACTTTTTTCTCCAACAAATAACTTAAAAATATACAAGCCAAGAGCTTTGGTGAGCACCACTACATGAAAGAATCACTTAGACTGGGAGATTAAGGCTGTAGTGTGCTTTGATCACACCTGTAAATAGCTACTGCATTCCAACATGGACACAGCAAGACTGTCTTTTTTTTTGAAAGCAGGATTCATTAAGAGGACAGAAAAGCTCCCACAATGGGAGGGGACCCAAGGTTGTTGACCAACCCTGTCTTTAAAAACAAAATTTTTTAAAGAAAATGAGCCTATTGGAATATCTGTTACATTAAGAAACTGCTATCAACTTTTTAAAGTATGGTAACTTGTAGCTATGAAAAAGAATGAAATTATGTCCTTTGCAACAACATGGATGTAACTGATGGCCATTATTCTAAGTGAACTAACGCAAAAACAGAAAGCCAAATACCACATGTTCTGACTTATGAGAACTAAACACTAAGTACAGTAAGTCCCCTACATACAAACATTAGCGATGCATATGTGCATTTTTTAAGGTATTGTATCTCTCTACCAGGTGTCAGTATAGCTTGTTAAATAGTGGGTGCCAAAAAATGTATACACATTACAAGAAAGGAAAAAGGCTTATTTAAATTGTAATACTCAATAAGATGAATAAAAGTCACATTTGACTTCTGCAATTACAAGAGGTGCTCAAAGTTATTACCATCAGCGTCCAGGCACTTCTGATCATGCAAGCATCTCTTTATATGCGTATACATATATTTTGGCACTCTCGGTACATATAGTACCATATAACCAATTGTGTTGGTTGGGTACCTAGACTAATTTTGTTGGACTTAACAACAAATGGACTTATGAATGTGCTCTCGGAACGGAACTCATTCATATGTTGGGGACTTACTATACACTCAAACATAAAGGTAAGAACAGCAGACACTGGGGACTCCAAACGCATAGCAGAGGAAGGAGAGGGTTGAAAAACTTCCTGCTTGGTACAATAGTCACTATTTGGGTGGTGGGTGCAACAAACCTGCACATATACCCCTTGAATTTGAAGTAACAACAAAATAAAGTTATAACTGTATTGTGGTTATGGTTTTAAAAAATATGCTTGCTATTTTTTCAAAATATCCCAGAGTTGAAAAGTGTTTAAGCTGGATATTCAATTTACTATCATCCATACATTTGTAATGTTTAAAATTTTCCATAATACAGAGAAAAAAATGCACATACACCAAAATGTTAATAATGATGCATTTGTGGTAGGTCTCCAGGTGATTTTCTCATATTTTGCTTATTTACTTCCTAATGTTTCTATAAGAAAAATGCAAATCCTTGTGAAACCTTGCTAAAACAGTAAGGAGGCTGCCAGGCACGGTGGCTCATGCCTTTAATCCCAACACTCTGGGAGTGGAGGCGAGAACACTGCTTGAGCCCAGAGAGGTTCAAGATCAGCCTAAGCAGCACAGCAAGACCTGTCTCTCTACAAAATATTTTTAAAAATTAGCTGGGTATGGTGGTGCACAACTGTAGTCCCAGCTTCTCGGGAGGCTGATACAGGAGGGTTGTCTGAGCACAGGAGTTGGAGGTTGTAATGTGCTACAATCCTGCCACTACACTCCAGCCTGGGCAACAGAGTGAGACCCTGACAAAAGAAAGAAAAAGAAGGGCGGGGTGAAGGAAGAGAGTAACAAAGAAAAATGAAAGTAAGCAAGTAAGAAAAAAATATGGTGTAGAAATGATAAGATGAATTTCAAAAAAGAAAACCAATAAAATAACTGAGAGTTAAACTAGAGCTATAAAAATCAATTCTGAAGCTACTATAAATAGGGTGGAGTAAGGGCATCATCAACAGAGTAGCAGCAAGTACAATGAAGAAAAAAATTTCAGAAATTGGTAAAAAACTAGTTATATAGGAAAATCTAGATAACTTCCTAAAATCTGTTTCGAATGACCCTACAGATAGTGATATCATTTCTGATATTTAAGAAATACAAAAAAGAGTGGAATTGGAAGCAAAATGAGGAAAAGATCAATTGATTACAAAGGTGACTACAGTGTATGCAGGTAGCTGTATGTGTATATGGATCTTTAGAGCTTATAGGTAAGGTTTTGTGTTAAACATTAATTTTAAAGATATCAATAACGTTCTCCACTATCTTCCTTCACTATTACCCTATCAGTCCTCCTACCTTTAAATGATTTAACTTTTATCTCAAGTAACAACATAAATGTCTCTTCCTGGAGGAACTTTCATGAACTACCAGCCTGAGTTAAGAGAACCTCTATCTGCAGTCAACAGCATCCAAATTTCCGATGTACTTGACTACTTATTCCTATATTTCTCACTGAATGTAGGGCAAAGAGTGTTTACTTTTCTTTACTAATAGATTTCATCCATTTATGACACAATTTGCCCATAGGTGATACTCCACAACCATTTGACGAATTAAATGAACAGCAACATGACTGGCTAAACATCAATAAGGCATTTTAACAGCGTTTTTCAAACTCCTGGTTAACTGAGTACCATAAACAATTTTAGTCGATCCTAACCATTATTTTAAAATGAAATAAATCAGTGCATCCCTAGAAAAAAGGAAAAGTATTATCACATAAAATTGTATTAAGATCTAAAGAGTTTAGATTTCAGGTTAAAAACAAAAAGTAGGCAATAAAGTTATTAAACTTTTTAAAAATGTAAGAATGTGATACATTAAAACATGTTTTATAATTAATTTGTATTGTAAGAGGTCACAAGTGAGAAAAGAAAAAGAATCTGGTTTTAGAAATGAATACAATTTCAGTATCCTGAAAGTCCTCAACAAGGAACAAGAATAAAATTCTTAAGACAAGGTTGAGTTTTGCAAAAAATTATATTATACTAGCAAGTTCTAGAGAGGTCAAGCTCAACATCTTTTAAAAGTTGATACCATCTTCTTCCCTAAATACACATCTGCACTGCTGAGATAGCAACCTCGCTGCTCTCCATCCCACCAACATAATCTAATTCTTAGCTCTATATGCCAACATCTGTTGTTCCCAAAACTAGAAGACTCTGCTCTTTACTCTACCCAGAGAAAATGCTACAAAAATCTACTAGGTACTTAATAAATACATGATAATTGGGAGTCAAAGCTATTACTGATTTCTGTAATGACCTGAAAACCAGTACAACAGATAAAAGTCTATCTGCCATTTAAAAATAGCAGAGTCCACGAAAGTCACATGACATTAGTTTCAGGTTAGTCTGAAGTCTACAGAAGGTTAGTATATAGCTTTACAAATTTTGGCAGCTTTATCTAAAACTGACATAAAATTAAATGGAAAACGTATCTGATGTGATACAGAATATTCAATCCTTATAGCTTTAAGGTAGTCCAAAACCTACGTTTAACTCAACATCAAATTTTAGGTGCCCTCCCCTTTTATTTTTACCTCTTTTGATATGACCTCTGAAATACTGTATGATTCATCTTCTCTTCCTCTTTTCTTTTTCGTAACTATAAAAAAAACATTTTATTTTTGATAGCAATTAACATAGAAATATAAACACATATTCTTCAAAACTAGAATAAGGAAATTTACCTGGACTTCCTTCACTTGCACCAACCAAATTTTTACCCTACAAAACAAGAAGTTAGAATTGTTCTCACTAAGGAACTTCACAGTATTACACATTAAATGCATTGATTAACTTAAGAGAATAGAATTCTTCACTGTTACACTTACCTATATGTAGCTTTTTTCTGTATTTCTCTCTGCTTTTCCCAAGGGCTCTACATGCGTCAATATTTTTCCATTTAGGAAAAAAAATTTCAAAACTAAACACACCAGGCATTTTTATTTAGAAATAACCACATACATGTTTTGCAGTACACATGATTAAGATATTCAGTGGGTGGGGTATTGAAGAATATTCATCATGAAGAAAATAAATACATTAAATACAACTTGAAAGTAGAAATAAAAGGGAATAATGACTGAAAAACATAAGTGAGGGTAGGGGAAAGAAAATGTTAAAAATGTTTCAAAATAAGAATTGAAAAAATACTATATCGAAACTAGGTGGACAACATGTATGAGAAATCAAAATGGTCAAAAAAAGGTGAATTTTAAAATCAAGTTACAAACTTAGAGGAGAATACCAAAAAGAATGGGTGAGACAAGAGTAAGGCAGAATTAACTGGTGACACTTATAGAACAAAAGCAAATGGGAAAAATCTAAACCCTGGTATGAAAAGTTAGGTGAGACAAAGTAAACTATGCATCAAATTACAGGTTAAAAGTAAGCAACAGACCAGGTGCGGTGGCTCAGCCTGTAACTCCAGCATTTTGGGAGGCCGAGGCAAGAGGAATACCTGAGCCCACGGGTTCAAGACCAGCCTGGGATTGGTAAGACCTTATCTCTACAATAAATCATAAAACTAGCCAGACATAGTGGTGTGCCTCTGTAGTTCCAGCTATTTGGAAGGCTGAGGCAGAAGGATCACCTGAGCCCAGCATGTCAAGGCTGCAGTGGCTGTGAGCATGCCACTGTACTCCAGTCTGGGTGTCAAGAGTGAGACTCCAACTCAAAAAAAAAAAAAAAAAAGATATTTAAAAAAAAACAAAAAACGGGAGGCAACTAATGGCTAAGCCAGTAAAATTATATTACAGATAAACATATATTCTTCAAAAACTCAAGATAAGTCTTTGGAATTAACAAATGAGCCAAATATTATTCTTAGTTTTAAATAACTGGCTTAGTTGCAAAATACTCTGCAAAATTCTTCATCAGGTATTTTCACACCACCCCTAACCAGCCTAAGAATCAAATACCTAGACTTACAAGATACTCTATCATCTTGTCTATTGGCATTTTGGTATTTTGGAAGGTAAATCTGAGCTCTTAAACTAAATCTGGGTTAACATTCTGGCATTTCTAATTATTAAGATTATGTGATCTTCACCAAGTTATAGTCATTTCTTATTATTTGCAGTATACATGTTTAACAACGTCACTATGACAATCACTGTCTTTAGGAAAAATACAAGTTTAAGTCTCTGATTACATTTTCATCAACCAACTAATACATAACCCTGTTTTATTTGTTTCCCTTTTTAATATAAATGTTGATAAACACTCAACCCAGGGCCAGTACTGTAACTCATACTTAAATGAAGCTTATTTAACACACATATTTTCTCCATAAGGCACATCACAGCCTTTTTGCACTCAGAAACACTAGACAGCACTTCATCACAACAGTTGGTGGACATTTTAAATAGCAAAATCACTCAAAAAAAGCACAAAAAAATGCAAAAATCACGGTGTTAGATGAACAGCAAGAAAATGATATATATTTGAGATATGTATGACAGTTAAGGCAAAACACCACATGTTTGAGCTCATCTGGGAAGTATCAATTGGGAGAATCAAATTTTTTGCTCTTCTGCACATGAATAACTACAGAAGGGTAAGGAATATTGATTTTGGGGTTATGAGTAAATATTAGTGAGAAAATAATGACAGAGAACCTGAGAAGAAAGAAAACTATACTTTAAGCTCCTTGCATCAGCTTATTTTTATGTAAAATGGATGAAGAAACAAACAGTAGCCCTACCTAAGGGAGCTGTCTTGAGAATTAAATAACAAAAGACTTATATAGAATACATGACACATATTAAGTACTCAATAAATGTGACCTTTATTATTTCCTTTTCACTAGGACAACTGTTTATTTTGGGCTCCAAAGAAGCTGGTCACTTATAAAATTTCTCAAAGTTTAATTTGAAGATCACTTCCAAATAAGAAAGTCAAATTTTGTCATTATTAAAAATAGTCCACAGAACAAGAAACTGAAGGGATTATACTCTGGCTCTCCTTCCCAAAGGCTCCACTTTCCTCAATTTTGAGAAATAGATTTTACACATTTCTATATAGTTTGAAACAGATAGGTTACCACTAAAAGTTAAAATTAAAGAATCAAAAAGTCAAAAGAGTACAAAAGAATTTCTTCAACATTTAAGTAACATAAAAAATATTCTGGAGTGCTACATTACCTTTGTAACTTTTAAAGATTCCTTTTTTCTCTCCAATTTTTCTTTCTTCTTCTGTTCCTGTGAGATAATTTTTTTGTTAATGTCACATGTGGGAAATGCAAGACATAGAACATGCATCTCAATTCTCCAATAATATGTTTACAATGAAAAACAAAAGCAAATCATAATTAAAAATCAAGATAAAATTTATTAAACAATGGATTTCAGAAAACATGTAGCAAAGGACAGTAAACATGACAAACGGGAATCAAATGGAGTGAATTCTCTGCCCAGCTGACTGCCTGAATGCAATTTCCAAGTGTAGAACATGGAGGATGACTCCAAACAGCACCCAACAGTCGCAAGAGTCTACAAGACAAAATTCAAAACTTAAGAGCAGCTTGCATTTCCAGGGTACCACAGAGGACAGACCTGAGCAGTGATGAGTGCATGAAAGGAAACCAAGGCCAGGAGAAGAGCCATCGGAAAGGAGCAGGAGGAACAATCGCCCACAGGCTACGTGATTAGGAGTAAGAAATCCTTCCCGTTCCCTCGGCCCAAATAGCAAGTCTTCCCAACATACAGAGCAGATAGAGTATTCAGAAGGGGGACTAAGCTATTCCTAGACTAAAAGTTATTACTGACGTGCTCTAACACATTCTAAGAGATAACAACAACAAAATTTCCAAGAGCTAGTGAAAGGAGCATTTGCCTTATAACTCTCTGAGTTAGATATTTGTTTTATGTTTATTCATTTGTCTTATTTTACCATATAAATGTCTTAAAAGTCTTCACACAATGGAAAAAGAATTTGACAAATGTAGCGAAATCTCAATTGACAAATGTTAAATGCAGGTGATGGCAACAGATTTATTACATTCTCTCAACTTGCACAAGTTTTAAAATCTTCATAACTTGCTAGTGGGAAGACAAACAATAAATAGAATAAACAATATGTCAGAGGATAAGTACAATGGGAAGAAAAGAACAAGGTAAACGGAGTCAAGAGTGTTAGAAACTTTAATTAAAATTGTAAGGGCAGGCCTCATCTAGAAAACATTTAGGCCAAGTCTTGAAGATGAAGGAGAAGACATTCCAGGTAGAAAGCCACAAGGACAAAAGCCCAAAAACAGGAAATACATCTAAAAAAAGGTATGAAAGGTAATGAAGTTGAGAGGCAGCCAAACTGCTTATAGTTTTATAGACATTATTGCGACTATCACTTTTCAGAAACAACTCAAGCTAGAAGGCAGTGAACGATCTTAATAGTGCTCTAAGAAATAAATACTGAAGAAAATAATTCCTTATCCAATAAAAATATTTACCTGTCAGAAATAAAGCCAAAATGTCTTTCAGACATAAGAAAATTGAAAAATCTCTCACCAGCAGAAAATGCAAATGAATCTTTATCAACACATCTGCGACTACCTGAGGATGGAAGATAAGGTGGGAAGAGATGGCAGAGAAGTAAAAGTGGGGAGAAGAATCCTTTGGGATTGGTGGGTACGTTCATTATTCGTGTGTCAAAACTTACAAAACCACACATTTTAAATATGTGCAAGTCAGGCGCAGTGGCTCACGTTTGTAATCCCAGCACTTTTGGGAGGCCAAGGTGAGAGAACTGCCTGAGCCCAGGGGCTCAAAATCAGCCTGGGCAACTTGGTGAGACCTCATCTCTACAATAAATCAAAAAATTAGCCTGGCGTGGAGGAGTGTGCCTGTATTGTTCCAGCTGCTTGGAGGGCTGAGACGGAAGAATTACCTGAGCCCAGTAGGTAGAGTCTGCGGTGGCCATGAGCATGCCACTGCACCCTAGCCTGGGTGGCAGAGTAAGACTCTGACTCAAAAAAAAAAAGGGGGAAGTGCTTCTTCAGGAATAAAAATAAACTACCAATAAATACAACATGAGTAAATCTCAAAAAGTATGCTGAGCATAAGAAATAAGACAAAGAGACTGCATAGGTGTGAGACTATAGAGGAAAAAACCGATATATCCCTATACTCTCATAAAGAATCAACAAAAAAGACTTCTGTCACTCAATGTGTTCAATCAATTCTTCGGTGGCCACCAGCTGGGTGTTCTCTAGTTCTGACACTATCTACCAGGGGACATGTCAGATCCACAGGTTGTGGGCTGGATCTCCAAGACTCCACCTCCCAACTTCAGAGGATGATCACAAGTCTCAGTTTTACCTGTGCTTCCCACCAACTGGTTATACATCAGGATTCCTGTAACCCTCTCTTTGGGTTCAATTAATTTGCTGGGGCAGCTCACAGAACTCAAGAAAACACTAACGTTTACTGGTTTATTATAAAGACTATTACAAAGAATACAGAATAACACCAGAAGGCCTGGATAAAGGTGTGATGAAAGAAGCACAGAGCTTCCATGGCCTTTTCTGGGTGTGCCACCTCCAGGAACCTCCACATGTTCAGCTATCCCTGAAGTCCCTGTACTTTTTGTTGTTGTTTTTTTTGAGTTGGAGTCTCACTCTGTCTCCCAGACTGGAGTGCAGTGGCCACTCCCAGCCACCGCAGCCTCGACCTGCTGGGCTCCGGCGATCCTTACAAAGCCTCAGCCTTCTGCCTTCTAAGTAGCTGGAATTACAGGCATGCGCTACCACACCCGGCTGATTTTTTGATTTATGTAGAGATGAGGTCTCGCTGCCCAGGCGGGTCTCGAACCGCGGGCTCAGGCAATCCACTCACCTCAGCCTCCCATAGGTGCGGGATTACAGGCTGAGCCACCGAGCCCGGCTGTACTATTTGTTTTTAATGGAGGCTTCATTATAGAGATTACTGGCTCAATCATTGGCCACTGATGATTAACTTTCAGATTCTCTCCCTCCACCCAGGGTTGGGGATGGTATTGAAAATACCAACCCTCTAACAAATTTGGTTCCCATCCTGAAGCTGCCTAGGGGTTTGCTAGCCATCAGTCAATCATACAAAAAGATATTATCAATTATCAATCATACAAAAAGATATTATCAATTTGAATATATGAAAGATTTTTAAGAGTTGAATGCAAGGAGACAAGGATGAAGATTAAACACACATTTTACAATATCACAGTGCCATGATTCCATTTACATAATATTCTAGAAAAAACAATATTGGCCTATAGTGACAGAAAGTAGATCAGTGGTTACTGGGGGCCAGCCATGGGGATCACGCACAGCACATGGGAACTCTTTGAGGTGACAGAAACGCACTTCAACTTGATTGTGCGGGTGGTTACAAGCATCTACACATTCACCATTCAATTCACTATTCAAAAGTCAGCAAATTGTAAACTTAAATCTGTGCATTTTACTGTGTATAGTCTATACCTCAATGAAGCTATTCTAGAAGTTTTTGTAAAATTTTATTTTTACCTGGCTCATATGGCTACTTCCAATTAAAGCTATTCTTTAAAACACTTTTGAAACTATTAGCTTTAATCACATATACATACCTCTAATTGCTGCTGTTCCATTTTAGTCAATAAAAATTTGGAGTAGATATTGCTTTTTTCAAGCAAATGTTGAAGTCTACGATACCGAATTTCTGTTGACTCTCTATCCCAAGACATGCGAGCCTATCCAAAGAAAATTTCCATAATTACTAAAGTTTTCTGACATATGACTTTCTGCACAAGGTTTAATAAAAATGGCTAAACATTCTTTAATTTGAGATATTTCCTGTAATTATTGAAAAAATCTTACAAAGTTAAATTCATTTACAAAAGACAGTTTATTTTTCAAACCCCAAACTGGAACAAATCACTGAGGATAAAAATGGTTCTTGGGTTCAACAGGCAATTTGGTAGATGTAGTTTGCCTATCAAAATATTGTAATTTCAGATACCGAACATACAGTTTCTGTTATCTACTGGGCGGAAGATCCATTTAATAAACATCTGAAATTAAAAGTTAAAAAATATTTAACTCAAGTTGGATGTAAGTTTTTAAACAACCAAATGCTTTCAGAAGAGAAAAATCTTTATATACCAGGTTTATCTGAAAGAGCATTAGAACTATCCAAAAAAAACCTTGGTGGCCAGGAACTTGAAAATTTAAAATTTTTTAAATTTTAAAACAGCATTGTCAAATATTCAACATGCTAGATCTACTGATGATTTCTCCTGCAAGCTTATTCTCTCCTTCTCAGAGCTCTGCCCTCACCCTTTAGCTTTTTTTTATTCTCATAGCTGTATTTTTCACTTCTATACACCTTCTAATTTTAAACCTCTCCTTTCATTATTACTTTTAAGCTAGACACAGGGGCTCATGCCTATAATCCCAGTACTTTGGAAGGCCAAGATGAGAAGATTGCCTGAGCCCAGGGGTTCAAAACCAGCCTGGGCAACATGGCGAGACTGCATCTCTACAATAAATCAAAAAATTAGCCAGGTGTAGTGGTGCACACCTATAGTCCCAGATACTTGGAAGGCTGAGGTGGAAGGATCACCTGAGCCAGGAGGTCGAGGTTGTGGTGGCTGTGAGGGGCTCTGCACTCCAGCATGGGCAACAGACTGAGATTCCAACTCAAAAAAGAAAAATAAGTTTTACATTTATTTACTGAGCAATTTCAAAGAGCCTACAATAGTCTAGTGAGTGAGGAGTAACCCTCTCTCTATTCACAAGGGCAAGAAAGTTAAATTTTAATAATAATACTATAGGGCACAAAACAAAAAACATAAAGTAACAAATATATAGTTCTGTGGTCCATAAACTTTTCTGTCAAGGGCTAGGTAGTAATTATTTTAGCATTTAAGCACCATTTGTCTCTATGCGAATATTCAACTCTGCTCAAAGACATGTAAACAAAGGGGCATGGTTGTGTTTCAGTAAGACTTTATTTACATAAATAGGTGTAGGTAAAAATCCAGCTTATAATTTGCCAATCCAGTATAAACTGAATTTCACAAAGTTACACTGGGCTAAAGTGACCCAAGTGCATGATGAAACCATCTATTAAAACTAAGTATATGCAAACCTCATCAGCCAGCAACTCCACTCCTGGGTGTGTGCGCATGCATAATAAATTTGGGTAGAGGAGGCAAGAAAAAAGATTTTTTAAAAAGAAAAAGAAATCAGAGATTCTAACATGCATCCAGGACTGAGAACCACCTTAAAGCATATCTGGATAGAACATTTTGGAAAAATACTGCCAACACAATTCATCCTAACAATCTAAACAGATATTTAGCCAAGATTAGCTCTTTAAATGCCAATTCCATAAACGTCCATGCAGTAATGTCAACCACAATTGTAGACACTGGGTGGAAGAACACGGCAAGTTTAATCATACTACAGATGAGATGACATTAGTATAATATCTTAAAACAAGAGCAGAGGAATAGAGTTTGGTAGTTATTATAGACATTTCTGCAGTAAGCAACACAGACCTCAGCAACAGCACTAAGAATCACTCAAGCAACCAGAATTTTAAAAACATTTATCATCTAGATGGTACATAGCTCTCATTTTATAGTCTGGACAAACTTTTGGCTCAACAAGAATTTAATGGCAGATTTTTTTTTTTTGTATTTTGCTTTTCCAACTAAATCAAGCCCCCTACTTTTCAGCCAGTATGAATGAACAAACAAAGTCAACCAAAAAAACCTCATCGCCCCTTCCCCCATAATTGGTTTCAAGTTAGAGGAAAACAGCTGAGAGTTAAAAGCAAACTTGAAATGAGGGCTGTGAGTTCATCTTTTATACTCTAAACAATGCACCAACACCTTGATGGTTTTGCTGCTCCAGCTTGTCAAGATCACTAAGATATCATTGTATATAGGCTTGTATATTCCTAGATATTCCATCACGCTAGCTTTCTTTCCAAATATATTCCTATTACAAAGTCAATGTGAATAGTGAGATATCTAAGAATAGACCTAACAAAATACATGCTCATTACAGAAAAATTGAATGTAAAGATAAACAATCATCCATGACCTCACCTACACAGATAATCCTCGTTAATACCTTCTTGAACTCTATTTTCAGTTCTCTAAAGACACCCTTTCTTTTACTACTACTAATATACAACTGTGATTACAATAGGCAGTATTACAATAAAGTATTTGAAACAAGGAGATTAAAATTACTTAATTATATAAAATAGTTGCTGGGCACATGCCACTGCACTCCAGCCTGGGTGATAAGAGATTTTGATTTAAAAGAAAGATAAATAAAATGGATTCGTAATTTTATTAATTTTATTTTAAAATTTAAGCTTAGTTAAAATAAGTTTGGGTTTAATTTAGATACAGTTGCTACCTTCAATCCTCTTTAAAATTAGCACATTATTTTAAAAGTTAACTAAAGCTTTCAGATGCCACCATGGAACAGTAAGATATAATATGATTAGAATAACATTTAAACAGTCAATCTTTAAGCCCAATCTTTCGTATTTATTTTTTTAAGTTCTAAAACAGAGTTTATTAGCAAGGAGAAGAAAAAAGGAAGATTCAAGGCAGAAATGACCTGTCGTGGGCAAGTTTCTCAAAAAAGAAAAACTGCCCAGTCTTTCACATTTCAAGATCTTCCTACCATTACTCTTCCTTGACTTTGTAGTTTCATTATTTGCTATATTAGGGTAGATTGCAACTCCATCTATAGAAAGCACTGAGGGCTTAGCAGGAAACACCCCCAGGTGGCTAGAGTGCAGGAGTATGCCAATGGACCCTAAGGGCAGAAATTCCCCCACTGTCTTCCCCATTCTCTCTCCCAACACAAATCCCACATTTGGGGGGAGGGGGGAAAATCCTGATTTTCGCCTAAGAAGAGTGATCTCCACACCAACCTTTCCTCCTCCCCCAATTCACAGGCAGTAATGCTACTCTTAAAATTCTTCTAGACTAACAACAGCTTCTTTTAAAAGGAAATGCAGGTTAAAAGCCAAAGAAAAGTATTGTAGCAATTGAATGTCAAATCATTCTCCAGGCTCCTTACAAACCTTAGGATTTCCTAAAGAAAAGTAAATGCTTCTCATTAAGGAACTTAAGCTTGCTCTTCCTCTCTTAAGTACTCCTAAACATATGCCCATTAAATACTGAATTCTCCCAAAAGAAAAGGAATCTCTACTTCTGAGCAGTGAGTTGTTTGGCCTTCAAAGACAGGGCTTACTAATCTCCAATAGAGATACTTTGAAAATCATTCTCAGTATTTTCTAGCCACCTAGGCATTCACTTTTTATCAGGGTTAGGTGCAAAAATAGTAAAAATCTTTCAACATCTGTACATAAAAAGGCAATGTATAACACACTATGTTTCAGCAAATTACACAGTTGTATTAGGAAGACTGAAGAAGTTATATACATCTTAAAGGAAGAATGGAACATGGATTAAGATGTACTCTTTAGGTTCTATGATGTGTAACGGTTAGACTTAGGACCCACTGTACAATGTTCATAAGCTTAAAAAGTCACTAAAAGTAGAAGACATTTTGACTCCTAGCTTCTCTTATCAGTATAAATGTGAAAAGAATTGCTTCTTCCCTTGAACTAATGCCTTCAGGAAATGTATTCTTGTCACACCTCAGGCATATCTTTCTTTAAATGAAGTTCCAACACTCTTCATGGTGACATGAAGATACAGGATAAAACAGAAAACACACTACTTAAGACAAAAATTATTATACCACTCTTACAACTCCTTAAATTGATTTTATTCTGGGCACTTGCCCCAGGATCTGTACTTTACAATTCACCTGGTTATATAGCTAATAAGTATATTTAAATAACCATATTTATATAATCTCATGCCACATAATATATAAAATGTAATTTTATCATAGTTAGCTATTCAGTAAACATTTACTAGTACAAAGACTACAAAAACAAAAAACAGGAAGTGAAGCACCCTCAAAATAAACAAAATGAGGGGCCCAGCGCGATGACTCACACTAGTAATCCCAGCACTTTGTGAGGCAGAGGCCAGAGGGCTGCCTGAGCCCAGAGGTTCAAGACCAGCCTGGGCAACATGGCGAGACCTCGTCTCTACAATAAATCAAAAAACTAGCCGGGCATGGTGGCACCCGTAGTTCTAGCTCCTTGGAAGGATGAAGCATAAGAATCACCCAGTCCAGCAGATCGAGGCTGTGGTAGTTGCACTGCACTCCAGCCTGGGAGACAAAGTGGAAAGAAAGGAACAAAGTGAAAAAGAACTCAAAGTAATGATAAGGACTATCATTCCTTACTTAATAATGAAAAATACTGTATAATAAACTATGACGAGAATTCAAAACATAAGGAAAAGTGGTTCTAGCCAGACCTCCCAACTCTATTAATTCACATCTTCCTTGAAGCAAAAATAGTTAATGTGCCTTAAAAAGACATCTGTTAACATATTACCTTAGTTGATTATGGCCAACCACAGATAATCAGTAATAACTTAGTATTACTGGAGTGAAAGTATACCATGGTAGTTAAAAAGCGTGAATTCTGGCAACACAAGACCTACAACAGAATAATGGCTCTGCCATTCCTACCAGAAGGACCCAAGGAAGCTCCTATGTGCATGGATTTCCTCGTCTGTAAAAAAAGGCGGCTAACATAATCGACGTCATAGAGTATTTCGCTAACAGCAAGTGTACATTAATTAAACTATCGAGTTTAATAACAACAATAGTATCAATAAGTTTAATAACAGGTTCTACTTCACAGAGTAACTGAAAATTCAAGCAGTAAATACACAGAAAGCATTCAAAGCAACGCACAACTTATGCTAGATGCTCATTAAGTGTAAGTAATACTGGCAAATGAAAAACCATTACTGTTGATATAAAATATCAGGGAACCAACTGACTAAAAATTCGTTTGGAGGGTTCATTATTTCTCGGCTTTAAGGAGTTTTACAATCACGTTAATTCAATATTAACAAGGACAGAAACTCTGGAGACAACCTGAGTACAAATTTGACTTCCACACTTGCTGTGTAACCAACCCCGTTTCTTCATTTGTCAATGGGAATAATAAAAAAGAACCTATATCGTCATGTGCGTAGGACTAAATAAAGTAATACAGAACAAGAAAATAACTTTTGGGGCAGCACTTAAGAGCTGACTAACATTCTTTTTCCTGCATATTAAACAATTGGGCAGTGGGGGAGGGGAGCAGCTTTAGAACACTCAACAAGAACTGAAATCTCTCGGGTTAAAAATCAGCTTTTAGTAAAATACAAAAATACTCTGAACCAAAAAAACCCCACGAGTACAGTCACTTGTCGTTGAAAGAGAACACCCCATTCTCAGCTGTAGAATCTTATTTAGGCCAGGCTGGGTGGCTCAGCCTGTAATCCCAGCGCTTTGGGAGGCCGAGGCGAGTGGATGGCCTGAGCCCGCGAGTTCGAGACCCGCCTGGGCAACTTGGCGAGACCTCACCTCTACAATAAAACAAAAATTAGCCGGGCGTGGTAGCGCGCGCCTGTAGTTCTGGGCACTTGGAAGGCTGAGGCGGAAGGATCGCCGGAGCCCAGCAGGTTCGAGGCTGCGGTGCCACTGCCCTCCAGTCTGGGCGACAGAGACGCCAACTCAAAAAAAAAAAAAAGAAAAAACAATCTTATTTAGCAACACACGGACCAAGAAACCAAAAAGGAAGCAAGAAGCAGGTGGGTCCCTCAGGTGGAAAACAGCCCTCCACTGGAAGGAAATCATGAGCCCCGGCCTCCAGCCCAGCCTCCGCTGGAGGCTAACTTCTGCCTCCTCCCTCCGTCTAGCACACGACTGCCACGGGCTTCGGAGATGCGCGTCTGCCGTCGGACACACACCGAAGGTCGTTTCCCAAAGAAGTGAGGGCGACCAGGGAAGATGCTCACGGCCGCCTGGGAAGGGGCGCGAAGGGACGCAAAGCCCGGCGACAGGCTGGCTTCCAAGAGGGGAAAGTGCCCTGGGGACACCCCAGGGAGGGAGCGCGAGCAGGGGCCCGGCCCGCGATGGCATCGGTAAACACACACACACGGGACGGCGAGGCCGCCGGCCACACCTCCCGGGACGCGCGGGGCGGGAGGGACCGTGAACTTGACTCCCGGTTACCTTCTCCAGCATCTTGCGCTCCCTCTCCAGCCCGGCGGCCTCCAGCTGCTCTTCCTCCTCCAGCATGGCCGGGGTAATCACGGCGGGCTGCGGCGGCTCCCCCATCCCTGGAGCGGGGACCCTGGGGGAGAAAGAGGGCCTCGGAGTCGCGGGGCGGCGAGGTCGGCGACGGCGCGACCCCGGCCCCCGCAGCCTGCCCCGTCCAGGCGCGCGGGGACCGTG